CGGCGTCACTAAATTAGCTGCTAACCATTTCGCCACATTCATTATGCATTCATGTAATATATACTCACATGAATTTATATATATATGTGTGTGTTTATGTGTATCACTTGCTTCTAATGCCTTTGTTGCAATGTTTGCTTCATTGGCTGCTTTTCAAGCGCGCCGCACACTCAATTCGCTTTGCTTTGAGAAATTATTATTTTTTAGACTTTTGCTGAATTATGTATTTCTTTTGTTGTTGTAATGCATTGTTTTTTTTTTTGTTTTTTTGCTCACCAACAACTTGCGATATTAACATGAGTTATGTTTTGTCTAATTACCGCACTTGCCACAATGCGCCGTTAATTGGATAAACGACTGCACACCGGTGTTTGTCGCCTCACTAAGTGTGCACGTGTGTGTACTAAGTATGTGTGTGTGCGATTGGGCGCATGCCAGCCACGTTGCTGAATGCCTCAAAATACGGACATAGAATTTTTGTGCTTTTGGTGCGCCTACAAAGCGCTGGCAGATGGACGCAGATGGATGTGCTCGCTTGAGCAGGCGAAGATGTGCCAAAACAAGCGGGTTGTATTGTTGTTGTTGTTGTATGTGATGGTGGTTGTCATGTAAGTGTCGTCTGCGTATTTGGCAAATTATTATTAGAAATTGCACACCTTGACCGATTTCTATTTTTATTTATTCATATGCAGCGCCTTTTGTGCCTGCAATTGTTTGGGCTACTTATTTCATTTCCCATGGTTTTTAATAAAATAACAATTTAGTAGTGTTGTTATAGTAAATTCCAATTCTAAAAGGCTCTAAGTGAGATTATTTACTTTTACTTTTAGTGGCCCTAATAACAAATTTAATCGGTTCACTATTCGGTCCCCACCGAAATCCACTTCGCGCTGGAACATTAAACAAGACAAGGTTATGAGTTGGATTATTAGAAGAAGAATAGAAGATAATTACCAATATGTTCAATAACAGTAGATTAATGGCCCTGTTAACTGATATTAGGTTAAGGGAATAGAATATAATGCACCACTAAACTTCCATTCTCTTGTGGATCTGTTTCCCTACTTTGTCAAGATTTTTCGCGTACTACTCAACTGATTTTAATGAACACAGCTCTTCGAGATATAATTTACGAGGTCTTAAAAAGGATTTTTTTAATTACAATTATTTAAAAAAATAGCATTTTTTTGTAAAAACATCTGCTAAAAGTACTAGTTTCACTTTTTTTCCTACGTCTAATACCTGGTTTATGGTCTTAATTAAAACACGCATTTTTAATTTTTACTTCATATGATCCTGTAAGAAGTTCTGCTGTCCACGCGGAGACAGTTTTTCCGAGCTTGCACGAAATAACATAGTTAGGGCCGAGTTTGGAATATTTTCCTTTGAAAATTTCACAAAATTTTTGTAAAATTTGTGTCTTTGGAATAATAAAAAGTTCGAATAAAATATTTCATTTTTTATATAAAAAAAAATTTAATATGGCGCATTTTGCTCCACAAAATCCATCTTACAACCCGGGTTACAACTATTTTTTTAATACTTTAGGAGCTTAGGCTTGCAGACCCCCTCTCGAGTTGTAGCTATATCTACTTCAACTAAAAGTGAACTACGGGTATACGAAGTGACACACAGCTTTTTTATTACCAGTCGATTTCCTTAGTCTATTAGAGCCTATTTAAGCAACATAAATATTTTTGTGGACGGTACTTAAACATATGTTTTTATCTCACCAGTTTTGCTTCGCTTGTCTTTTGCCACGCACGTAACTCTCTGAGCTTTGTATTGTGTATTGTACTGAATTGAGGTTTCCGAAACATGTCTAACCAACTAAATTGGTTCGTAAATGTAAAACTTATTCAATGTTTATGTACTGAAATCAGCAATCTTTTCGCAGTCGCTTAGCAAAAAATGCAGTCATCATACAAAGAAATTTGAATCAACAGTAATTATGTATATAGACTCAAACTTCAGCAGCGTTCCTGATATATATACTGGAAGAGTTAAGTGAAGATTTTCGACATTCAGAAATGCTCTGATCACATAACCAGGATAACAGCAGACAAGAAAATTAATATAACTAAAAAGGATATTCTAGAAAATAAAATTTTTTTATATATTTTGAAAGTTGAGCTATTCAAGAATATGTCTACAAGAGGATTTGTCTAAATTCAAATTATTTGCGGGGTTCATAGTACAACCAACCAAAATATCGTTTCCTGACTTACTTGTAGACTGAGATTTACCTGAAATTTTTAGAAAGTCTTTTTATAGATTTGTCTATGCCTGAAACCATATCACCATTTTTCAATTTTAACTCTTTTTAAAAATTCGAAACAGTCAAAAAAAGTGATACTCACACATCACGGCCAAATGAAGGGACAAGGATCGCAAAATAGACACCCGTCGTAATTTTGATAAGGTTAGTATAATATGTACAGTTTATTTATGGTATTACAAAACACCATTACTCATCTAGATGAAACAAACCTTAAAGAGAACGATGTAATGCTGACATATTGCCTATTTTCTATATAATTATCTGGATATCCATTCTTTATCAGTGCTTTTATCATTTAATATCTATTGCAATATTCGTGCGGTTTGCCGAGAGTGGGCGAAACTGGATTATTATTCTGTTGTTCAATTATTCCGAAGATGTGTTAGAAAACTACGGTCCTTGCGCATCTTTCGTAGTATTTGTCATTCATTTAAAACGCAAACTACGCTAATTTTTTTCAGTTCTTGAAGAAAGCTCAGCCAAAAGTCATGTTATTTTGATGAAAGTTTATGTTCAACATTTTCTAGCTGAGCGAACGACCCAAAGGCGGTTTGTACGATTTAAAAGTGGTGATTTCGGCTTGGAAGAGTTTGAAGTTGAGGAGCTGAAAGCATTATTCGATTAAGCTTGTTGTCAAACACTAGAAGAGTACGCAGAATCTTTGGAAGTCACTCAAGCAGCCATTTTGAAACGTTAATTGATATGAATTAAAGATAAAACATGTTAAAAGATGATTTTTTTTGTCAGAAAGACTGCTTGAACACTAAGAAGTTGTTTTTGCTTCGGATTGTGACTTGTGATGAAAAATAGATCCATTACGACAGCCGTTAACGGAAAAAATCAAATGCCACCGACAAAAGCTCATCAAATTGAAGCGAGCGTTTGCCGAAAAACGCCCAGAATTAGCGACCAGACACGAGGCAATAATATTTCATCATGACAATGCTCGGCCTTATGTTGCAAGATCGATTAAAAATTATTTGGTATTTTTATTAGTCAAACCTTGCCCCTTCTGACTTCCATTCGATTGTGACAGAAAAGTGTATTAAAAATTGGTTTGATTCCTTCTTGGCAGCCAAGCCGGTGCAATTATTTTGAAAGACGAAAAATGGATTTTTAATTTAAAATTAATTAATTATTTAAAAATTTCTAAACCAGATTTCCTTTAATTTATTGAAAAAAATTAACAAAATTCATCAAAGAAATTCAAAGTCAAAATAAAGTACGGTTAATGTCAACCAACGCAAACAAAGCACTAAAAGTGAGTGAGAAAAATGTCCCCTACGAATGCCGAGCACCAAGGCTGTTGCTATCAGCAGCCGAAATTGTTGAAATGCCTACATGTAAATATGTAACATTATAACGGTGGCATGCCAAAGCACGTATGAGCACCGAAGAGCGCTGATGAATATTTAGATTTTGGATTTGATAGCTACGCTTTGTAATAAATTTTATGTCGGTCAGCGATTGCGATTTGAACCGAACACAAAAGGGACATAAAATATTCGCGACTAAGCAAGAAATATGTATGGAAATCTCTGTGTATATATGTATATGTGAATATACATATGTATGTGTATTTGAATTTAGTGTTGCACAGAGGTGATTATGCATGATTTATAAACATGTCCACAGTTCTGCTTGGCATTTAAAATAGAAAATATATACACGCATATCTGTATGTGCGGTAATAAAAGCTTTCACTATGCGGTCAATAGAAAATTTGCACCAAGCACACGCATACATACATATCTAGACAGAAGCGCCGCATAGAATTTGAAATGAAAACAAAAGAGCTGCAATATTTGATATTTCGGGCGCTGATTTATTGACTGCGCTGGGCGGAGGCGTCAACTATTGGCTTCCAGCAGTAAAACCACCACAAAGTATTGAATTTGGCAAAGCGTCTGTCAGCAAGTGAAGCGCCAGCTGTGCGCTAGCCAACAGCTGTTTGCTGTGCGTGATTTTTGTTGTTTTTGGCAGTTTTATTTTTATGTTTTTGTGCTTTGCATGGCAATCTGCGTGGGTGTGTAGCTTCAAGTTTAAATGTATGTCACTTCCGAATGCGTAACGGTGCCGCTATCGCACTGACTATTGGCCGTTTAAGCAGCCACAATCATAACAAATGTTTATATTAAGTAATGGCGCAGCGAAGGCCGTTTTGTCGACAGTTTTTACTACCGTCTTATGTAATTTACAGCCGCTTAAGGCGCACAATTCACACGGATGTCTTTCGAATGTGACGCACCGCGGTCGGCAATGGTGACATATGGTGCGTACAACAACACTAGCAAAGCACTTAAAGCTGCGTAGCGTTCTTGGCGTTATTTCGACGCTTACACGCGTTTGGTATGCGGCGCATGCGCAGCATTTCATTGCTTTAATGTCACTTTCGTTCGAAAACGAACACGCATACTTAGGCATATTCAACAATTTCGGCGTTGCTTGGTGCGTGGTTTGCATGTTTGTTGGTGAGCACGCGCGCCCTTTGCTGGCTGTTGCAGCAATACTGCATAGCGCTCACGATTAGGCGCTCGACTTTGGCAAAGGCGCCGCATACATTGACTAGTCTGTAATTAGCCGTAAGAAGACAGTGTGCAAGCTTACCGTTGCAAATCCAATAACAACAAGTATACGCGCCATAGCAGCAAATTTGCACTGGTTCAAACCGAAAAGTGTGTATAAAAATGCGTGGGAGCTTCGAAGTGGCCATCAGTTGAGTTCCCTCAGTGCAACAGTAAAGTCGGAGTTCGCGTTCGTGTCTTACATATTTTGTTTCAATTGAAATCAAGCGTGAAATCTTAGTAATGAAGGTGTGTATTTGTAAATTGCGCAAACAGCAAATAAGCACAAAATGTGATTTATTAATAAAAAAATATTTAATAAAATGAAAATGAAAAAAAAAATTAATTAAATTAATAAATAAAAAATATTAACTTTAAGAAATTAACAAAATAATAAATAAAATATTTGAGAAATTAAAAAAGAAATTAAATGAAAATTAAAAAATAATTAAATAAAAATTAATTAATAAAATAAATTAATTAAAAAATATTTTTAAAATTTTCAAAACTTCGAAATTAAAAAAAAAATAAACTAAAACATTTAATATATGAAAAAAAAGTTTTATGGAAATAGACAAATTTTAATTAATAAACTAATTAATTTAAAAAATTTTTACAAATTCACTAAAATTAAAAGAATTAAAAAAAAATTCATTTCAAATATTAAAAAAAATTTAATGCTGCAAAACATCTAAAAATGTTAAACCATCCACAAAATTAAGAAAATACTTCAACACTTTTATCCTTGTACCTTTCAGCCTGTGATCTGCTTACTGGCTCTCACCCTCGCCACCGCCAATGCCGGTCTTTTGCCACACCACGGCCACGACACGCACATCGTGGAAGGTGCCCACCATGTTGACATACCACATGGCAGCGGCATCCATCTGGGCCACTCATCCGCCATCGTAATCGATACCGACGGCGCTGCGGAACACATCGAATCGCATCCGGTCTATCATCATGATGATCACAGCGCACATGTCGATGTGCATCCGATCGTGCATGACTCTCATCTTCATCACGATGTGCATCATGATGTCCACCATGACATACACCATACCGCAGCCGCTGCCAAAATTGTGCACCACGAGTCAATCCACCATGTCGAGCCTGTGCATCATGTCACCAAAGTGGTGCATCATGAGCCACACCATTTCTTGCACTACGTAAAACCGGTGATTGATCATCATGTCATACACCAGGACAATCATCATGATGAACATTTGCATGCACATGATTTGCATCATGCTGAGGCCTATCACGCTCCACTGTTGCACCATCACGAACATGTCGCTCATCATGCTCATTTGGTGGATCATCATCACCATCACGCTGCTTTGGTGCATCATGTGCCCGCTCACACACACGCCGCTGTGGTGCACAAAATCTACCCAGGCGATGCGCATCACGGCAGCATTCTGGCCTTCGCTCGCCACGCCCTCCATGGCAAATACGGCAAAGTGAAGATCACCGAGAAACTTTACTAATCGATTTCATAATGAAAATTCAATAAGAACAACAATAACAAAGCTCATCTAGCAACTAAATCAACGCGAACCTAGTGAAATGGCACAACGAATAAAACTCATAGTTAATTTATTAAACGAATTCAAAGTGCTGCTAAGGGCACATAGAAAACATATATAATACATGCGCGCACGCACACATACATACATACACATGTATACATTTGCTAACATTCACCTGGCGTCTGTCGCATCCTACTAAATAGCATCATTTCGCTAGTCTAGTATAGTTATTATAATTTTAGCATATTTTTCCTAACATTCAATGTAAGATTATACTCTTCTCTCTTCGTGCTGAGAGTGTTTCCCATACAAGAGGGCTTAACACTCTAACTTATTAGTTGTTTTGTACAAAATTTAATAAAATTAAAATTCTAAAATATGTCGAAGTGCAAATGTAAATAATGTATTTTTTTCAAAGAAAGCGGCAGCACTTAAATTATAGATTACCTCAAAATAAAAGAATTTAAACAGAAACAAGAAAAAAAGTTAACTTCGGCTGCACCGAAGCTAGAATACCCTTCACAAATAGAAAAAGACGTTACAAGAACTTGATTGTTCAGTTTGTTTGGCAGCTATATGCTATAGTGATCCGATCTTAACAATTTCTTGGGAGATTCCATTGCTGCCGTAGAAAATAACTCATGCCAAATTTCGTGAAGATATTACGTAAAATAAAAAGGTTTCCCATACAAGTACTTGATTCCGATTTTTCAGTTTATATGACACGGACATGGTTAAATCGACTCCGCTCTCCTCCCAGGGTCCCCTGCTAAGTTGTCAAACATCTCTTTTGCGATCTTTGCTCGACGTCGGTTTTGCAAAAGATTCAGCTTTTTTGGTACTACTTTATCCTTGCCACTCTTCATACCCAAAACATTAACCATACTGTGTTGAGTCGATTCATAAGATATGTTGAGATTCTCTGCTATCACTCTGATGTCAACACAACGATTTGCAAGCACTGTTTCTCTAACTCTTTCGATGCTACCTTCAACAACAGAGGTGCGAGTCGCATAAGGTAAGATTTCGTTGACTTCACTACCTTCACTGAATATTTTGTGCCACTCCAAAGTTTGTGTTCGTGGTAAAGTAGAATCACAAAACACATCTAGAACATTTTTCAACGTTTCCGAATCCATGATTCAATTGAAATCACAAAATTTCAAGCAAACTCGTTATTCATTTTACAGACAAACTTTTCGTAATAAATAGCCAAACACACAATAATTGCCAAATGGAGATCAAACTTCGCTCGAATATAAAAAGTATTGTATCAATCTAGGAACAAATTTATATCGATTCGGTTTGAGCGCGCAGTTTAAATGGATCAGTCCGGGTACGATTTGATCAGAGAGCATATTTTATAGGGTCTCTGACGTTTCCTCCTTCCAGAAATACTATCATGTAAAGAGTGAGTATGTTTCCGTTTTTGATCACCGAGCAACTATTGTGTGTCGAAGAATATAATAAAATATTTGTCATGATTGGATAGCTGGTTTATTTCGCTTTCCAACGTTAAACACGAGTTCAATCATAAAATATTGGTTAGATTCCAATTCAAAAGCCAGCAGCTCAAACAAATTTACCACTTTTAACCATATGTCACGTCAAAAACAGATTGTTGTTTGTGGATACGCACATGAAGTGATCAAAGTCAAAGGGATGATTGGATGAAGGTAATGTTCTACTTTTCAATTTTAAATGTTGCTAGGAAAAACCTTTAATCCTCAAATTTTCTCTTATATGCCACGGTACATTGTTATCAACGAGAAGTATGCAGGACTGAAAATATATGTAGTCATATGGCTCTGATTGAATAATCATAATTATAATATATGATTTTTAAACCAATATTAATATTAAATAGCTCTCGACTGATCTGCTTATGACAATAATTATGCAAAATATAAAACAAAAAAATTAAAATTAGCTCAAATCTTTTAAAACAACTTCTCAAATCGAAAACTTGAAGTTATTCATTTTTAACAGATCTCTAAAAAACAACAACAACTTTGCGTTAAATAACTAAAAACTAAACTAACACTTTCAGCTAATATTTGCTCTCCCACTTATAATAATCGAAATACAACAACAAAGCCAGCTCCAGCTTACGCTCTATTTAAACAACAACAACACTTTAGGTAGGAAAAATATTGCTAGGTGTTAAATAAATATAACCGGATAGGGTCTATAACACCTTAGACATGCAAGTTTTATGCGGGCGTAATAGAGATGAGCTACAAATTAGTGTCTAAAAATAAAAGTTAGAGGGTGTGCAAGAAAAGTAGCTACCCAATGCTAATTGCCAGGTGCGGAACAGCAAACATGTGCATTTCATGTGATGACGACTGTGGTGGCGCTGGTTTCGAGAATGGGGGTGGAGCCGCAGCGCAGCCAGACACAAATGCAAATAGTAAATAGATGTGAGTGTTTGTATAAAATATATTTTTATTAGGTGTTAAAATGTTGAAGAAAAAAATATTGAAGTACGTATGTGCATTAGGGTGGGCCGTTTTTTTGTGTGCAAATGAAATTTTTCATATAAATTAAAATTATTTTTGAATTTTCCGATCATTTACATTTTAGATAATGAAGATAAAGCCTGTTACTGAATTATGACAGAAACATTAGGGTAGGGTGTAATTTGAGATAAATATTTGAAGTATTAGAAATGTTAAATAAACTTAACATAATGAATATACGTAGTGTAGGTATAAAACACATTTTATTAAGTTTTAAAACATTAAAGAAAAATATTTTAAGAACATTAGGGTGGGCCGATAATATAAAAAAAAATTGTTTGCACAAGTTTAACCGATTGCTGAGTTTTGTGTTAATTTACAGTTTGAATATTGCATATAAAAGGTGTTGAGTTTCAAACATTAGGGTGTGATCTAATTTAAGAAATTTTTTTTAATAAATAAATGTAAAAATGCTATAAATAACTGTAAAAATAACTTAATAATATAATTGGAATATTTTTTAAAATTTATGGTCTTTTGTTTGCAGTAAATGGAGATCAGACATTAGGCTTGCCAAGGAGCTTAAAAATATACAATAGTATTTCTCAAGTGTGGGTGCTCCAATAAAATTTCTAGGTTATGATTTCTGTTCGTTCTCACATTGATTTAACAACAGTGTTCTAAACTTCTTAAACAAGTATTTTTCAGTAAAAAAAAGTTGGGTCACCCTAATGCGTTGAATATTAAACACACTCATTTATAAATATACATCCAACAACTAATATTTATATTTTCAAGCATTGTGCTGCTACAATTCTCCACCAATGTTGTTGTATTGCTCATTACCTTGTTTATGCTTTGTCCTCGCGTTACCTTCGCCTCGCTGCTACTTGCGGTGTGGTCTCCGAAACGTGCTTCGCGGCTGTTGCTTTATTATGTGGTGACTCGGAATTGAATTGAAGGCGCTCGAAGAACACTCAGTAGATGTGTTTGCCAAGATTATTAGCAGCTGTGCGCGTGATGGTATTAAGGCGACAAGGCAACGAGCAGCGAGCAACGGGCAACGGGCAACTTGCAACCAGCACCTAACAGCTATTGTTTTCAACAAGCAGTTCGCTTCAGTTGATGTTGGAGTTAAGCTGCTCGTAAATCTATATGGCTGGCAGGTACTGAGCATTAGCCGACCACAGAAATCAGGCAAAAATATAAACTTATTGTAAAATAAATGTTAATAAAATTAAACAAAAAGGTTGCAGTAATTATTATTAAATAAAAAATATTTTGCATACAACTTGGACTACGGTTTAGGTTTTTATCTTATTGATTAATATTATAATACTTGTAAGAAAAACAACACAATTGTCAATCCTAAAAGAATTACTTAGTGCACCTGCTCTTGAAGCATAGTCAGTTATAGCTTCTGATCAAGCTCGGCACTTAACTATTTTCATATAATACATATCTATGTTACATATATGCATACACGACCACTGAGTCAATCCACTGTACAGCTTAAAATCGCTGCCAGAAACATATTTTTCTTTATGTGAGTAAAGAAAAAATAAATTAAAATAAATGTAGACAACAACTACTAAAGCCAATATATATTTGTTTGTACTTCTATAGATATCATAGAAATTTAATAAATTTATTTATCAGACACCAGATGGCAAGTACTAATAAGTTTCCGTAAATAAATCTACTAAACTAATGATTTTAAAACAAGAAGAAAAAAATATTAACTGCGGTTGCATCGAAGCTATAATACCCTTCACAAATACAAAAGATTTTATACAAGAACTTGATTTTGATCGGCCATTAGTATGACAGCTATAAGCTATAGTGATTCGATCTGAAAATTTTTTTCGGAGATTTCATCATGATTTTATTAGCATATCACACATATTGGCCGATTGCATTATCGTTTGGCAGTACTCAAGTAAGCACATAAACATGTTTTCAAACAAGTTTATGAGTATAATTCACACATTAACGGAAATCATTATTCTTGTATGTCGTATGTAAGAGCTGGGGTTATTCGTTAACCGATTTTACAAATTTTCTGCATAAGAAGTTTTCAAAATTTTTTTAAAGGGGTTGTAGTAGTAGGGTGGAGCGAATTTTTTTTTTTTTTGCTTAGTCTGGGGGTAAAAAAAAGATTATAAGAAAAGAAAATTTTTGGACAAAAAAAACTGTATTTTAACATATCAGTTGCAAAGTAAATTTCGAGTAAAAATTTTTTTTGGACAAGAAAAAATAATTTTTGGTTTAAACTCTTTACTTTTATAAAAAAAATTACCGCATGTGACAGTTTTTGACTCAAAATTTATTTTTACGCTTAAGGAAAGCATGTTGTCTTTTAAGACTTTTTTTTAAAACTCCAATAACGACCACAAAATTTTTTTTAAGTTGATAACTTTTAATTGGTCAGAAAGAGGGCTCTCCACAGCTTCTAGAACGCTTATCAAAATTTTTTTACGAAATAAAAATTTTAGCTCAAATTTACTTTAAAACTGAGTACGCCGCCTCTAGATGTAAAAATTTTTTTTTTCTACAAAATATAGTAGTATACCTTAGAGGCATTATTTGTTCAAAACTTAATTTTGATAATGTCATTCGACATCGATTCACATACCATTAAATGAAAGAAGCAGAAGGAATTTAAAGTTATTATATAATATATAGGAGGTAGGCGTTTTTTCACACATAAATAAAAATATGATAATATGTAATGTTATGCACTAAATTTAATTAAAATTATATGAGTAATTGCTGAGAATTCACTTAAAGGTAGTCGGCTTCACGCCCATTAACTAATATTGATACTACCTCCTGAAGCGCTTTATTATATAAGATATGAAATTTAGTGCTTCTGATTTAATTATTCAGTGAGTTATAGCATTTTCAGTACTTCTCAACATCACCGTAAAATGTGAAGTGGGCGGGGTTATAATCCGATTTCACCCACTTTCACACAGATAGAGGAGGCGCTGCATATTTGTGACCTGAGTATATTTACTTCACAGACCTTTAGGGATTTGTGAGCCTTGTATATTAATTGTATTATGAGAGGGCGGCACCACGCCCCATATTTTTTTTTTATTTTAGAAATTTTGCTTGTACCAAATTATAGTTCTGTATCTTAATTTGGCGCTTAGGAATAGCATTTTAAACATTTTCGAATAACGGAATATTGTGGGACTGGCAGTGACTCGTTTCCGCCCTTCTAAAATACCAAACTTCTCGCGATACTAAAAATCAAGGATTTCAACTAATTTTGTTATCCTGATCATTTATGGTAGTAGTCCGGTGGGATGGGTTCAAAAATCGTTTTTTTTTTTACATTTTTTAATAAAAAAAAATTTCAAACCGTTGATTTATTTATGTTTTTATAATTTATTAATTTTTTTAAACATTTTGTCAGCAAAAAAAATCGATTTTTAGCACATTTTTTCACAAGTCCATTATTTAATATTTTTTATGCATATTATTGATTAGTTCACTACAATAAACTATAAACAATAATAATCTTTTCGCTTTTTTTATTTCAGATGACTACCAAAGGCTGTGTGCTTCCCCGGAACCGCTTAACGTTCCCTTGGGGACAACACTTCAACACAAAACATTATTATTAAATCAATGCAAAATTAAGTAAAAAAAATCCTTTGTATGCTTGAAAGTAATAATAAAAACATGTAGAAATTACAAAACGATCGCATATTATTTTCCTGCTGAAAAAAATTCACGAGAAAACGAAGTTTCGGCAGTCACACAGTATATAACATATAACTCTATCTCGTATATATCTATCTCGTTTAGTTCCACGTGTTACAAACAATCGTTAAGTGTTGAAAACTATTATACTCTTTGCTGCAACATGTTGCGGGCGTATAAAACTTTCGTGTGTTAATGAAACATTTTTTTAGAAAAAATTGTTTACTGAAATTAAAATGTGGGTTGAGGAGTATTGTTCGTGGAAGCATCAGTGGTAAGCGAAGGAAGCTGTTTCGGATGAAAAAAACAACCCAAAATAGCCTTGCATTACTGCGGCTGAGTTAAAGACGTTGATCGAGATCCTAAATGTAAAGGCGGTATCGTTATGTCCATCGAATATCTAAAAATGCTCTGAGGTATTGGAGACTACGACTGAATGCGATGGCGAAATTGCATAAACTAGCTTTCGAATTTCTATCATTTTGTGCGGATCTGTCCCAAAGCGAGCTTTTTCTGTTCTTTGACCTCAAAAGTGCTCGCTGGAAAGACATTTTGTGGCGATGAAGATGTAATGGCCGATGTTGAGGAATATTTTGAAGTAAACAGGAGTATTCTAAGATTGTATCGAAAAATAAACACATTACTGTAAATGGTTTAGGGTTGCAGAAGTATATAACGACCCTAACGGTAACTATTTATAACAAATATTCTGGTCGAATTTTGATTAAAAAATTTAAAGTTTGTTGTTCCTTAAATTGTAATGAACTTTTCAGGCCACCTGTTACAAATATTGCTTGAGTGGCTTGTCCATTTTAGAAAAATTTTTCATAATTTGGCAAAAATGAGTTATGTTGTTATTTTATAAATGGAAGAAAATAAAAAGGCAGGTAAAATGTGTCATCTTAAGGGCAATGTAATGCTTTTGAATCCGTCGCGAATTTATTATAAACAAAGAATAGAGTAAATTCCAAGTGAACATCAGCACCGTGAAACTTTCGCAGCGCATCGCAAAACAACAACAAAAAATATGAACTCTAAATGTGCACACAAATCGTCGCAAAAATCGTGATAATTTTGGTTTATATTTAAGCGGCACAACTATGTACGTGCGACCGCACTTCAACCCGGCGCATCTGATTGTTGCAATAAGCCGACTGTTGTTGCCACTACTGCTGCGCTTATTGCGCGCCTTTTGCCATTAGCAAATCGTTCGCCGAAACGTAAATTCGCTAATTCAATACAATTTTCAATTTCAACTACACGCAAATAAAAACAAAATATGGCACCGCTGGCGCTGTTGATGCCAGCTGAGGCAATAATAGCCACGACGACGACGCAGCGCGGTTGCAAGTATACGCTTTGACACAGGACGCGGAGAACGGCGCGAAAGCAAAACGAAGATGGAGCTGAAAATAAGAAAAGCAAAGTCTTAAGCTAACAAATTTAGCTTGTTGTTGTAGTTGTGCGCGCAGTGCTACTGTGCGGCTACTCGGCAAATTCCATTGCCACTCACTTGATGTTGCAACCTTTCTAAAAAGCGCTTTTATTTATATTTTAGGCGCACACTTTGGTTGTTTGTTGTTGTCGTTGTTCCTTTTTTGTGCCCAGCCATGGCCGCCTGTGCGACCTATTGATTCCGTTTGTTGTTGTTATTTTTGTTGGTGGGGAAATGTTGCAATCCAATAAATGAAAACATCACGCGAACGCAAACCCCGAAAACGTTTAGCTGTCATTAAAACACACTGCGATTTGTTGTTGCTGCTTTTTGCTGTGTTGACCGTCATCGCTGTTGTTGTTATTGCAGTTGCTAGCTACGTGCCGCAGCCAGCGGCTTGCCGCTTCAGGTGCCGCATCAGCGTCTATATGCCATTGTGGCACTTACTTTTATCACATTTGTTGTTGTTGCAATTTGCTGTTGTTGTTGTTGTTGTACGTATATTGTTGTCTTTCGTGCGCTGTGTATTTGCTTTGTGGTCATTTGTTCGCTCCAAATGGCATGCAGTTGCAGAAAAAAAGACCAAACGCTTTGAGGCAGCTACAAAAGACTTAAGCGACGAACTCGATTTTGCATGCGAACTGCGCACGGCGCTGCATTAGAGGCCACGTGTTGCGCATGCGCCAGCCCACAACTACCTCATTTGAGCATAGCAGCGTGCTGGCAACAGTGTTGTGTGTTAGTGCAACACTTGCAATACAATTGTGAATCAAATAAAAATAAACGAAAAAATAAATAAAAATAAAAATATAAACTGCAGAAGCGATAAATTTCGGAATTTCTTACTGAACATATATTTTTCTATTTTTTTCTATTTTTCTTCTTTTCTGCTTTTATTTGCGCACGCTGCAATTTCAATGTTAGCCACAGCTAGATGAGCGCCACCAGCCACCACATTGCACCAGCAATGACTTTAGCGGTGGTGTAAATTGTTTTTTCACGATTTTCCCCAGCGCGTACACCTCGTCCGCCCCGCTCAAGGTGAGCACAGCAAGGCAATCGTAACTCGCTTGCCCGTCTCTGAGCCAATCTAATCAACATTAACGTGCAGATTTTACAAACAACCTGCTAGCGTAGTTACTGGTTGTGGTTTGTTGTTGTTTGTTTTTGTATTTTCGGGGGCGTCAACTCACGTTTATGCTTTGCGGGCATTATCGCTGCTGTTCATCTGATAAATCACAGCTGCTTTGTGAAAATTGCCTCGTCGCAGTTGTTGTGTGGTTGGTTAAGTTTTTTGTTGTTGTATGGAAATTTTGTTTTTGTAAATTGTATAATTGCCCTAGTCAAAGTAACTGACTCCACTTGACTGAACACTTGCTGGGGTGGGTGTGCGAAAATTGATTGTTTATGCTTCGTTAGTCACTTTTCTTGTGCTAACAATCGCCTTTTCTACATTTTCTAAAATTTGGGTCGCCCTGTAAACAACAGTTGTTTGGGATAGAAAAAAAGTTGTATATAGAAGCATTGGTTGCTGCTGAAACACATACTAAAAAGTGTTTGTGGCCACAACTGAAAATTCTATAAACCTAGACGTTCGCTCAAGTTATCAGCGTTGTTTATAGTCTTTGGTCGGATATATATTTATTTTTATTTCATTTACAGTGAACTGAAAGTAGCGCATATGCTGATTTAAATAATAACATCTAGATATAGAGTCGTCTATTTGACTTTACTTCGACACATTAGTTAGGAATTTTTAAAAGATCAAATACGACAACAGACTCTCAACCAGCGCATCAAACTCACTACCAGCTTTTCTTAGTTAAATAAACGATTTTACGTCTGGCCTTGTTATTTTCAGTTCATGAAATAGAATTACGATGAGGTTGCTTCCGAAATACCAAACCTTGATAGGTTATACAATTTTTTGCCAATTTGGTTGTTAAAACCAGTTAGGGTTTGCAAATGAAATCAGGTCCATGGCGTATGTGAAAATTGTGTTTCCAAATTGCGAACTATTGTACTTAGGAATTTGGTGGTGTAACTCTTTAGAAAGGGTTTTAAAATAAAGCCTTAGTTTCTACTAATTCACTACACTAAAAGTAAGGAAGACCTCAGTTCGGGTACAACCAAAAATTTTATACTCTGGCGACTTGCATTGATAAAAAGCGGGCTAAATACCTTCGCGTGTTCCCAACACTTGATATAACAACATGTGGCGTAATTGTTCGACGTAATCGTGAATTGATTACAATTAACTCTGGTATCTTATCAACTTTTTTTGAAGGTCATAGACTCACTTAGTTTAATTAATTTTTTTATTCTATCCGTCAGCGAAAACTATACTAAAATCATTCTCAAATGAAATATATGTGATATGTATTTAATCTATTGAGTTAATCCAAAGAATCAGAATTTATTATATTAGAAATATGAGGTTTTGATCAAGACCAATTCATTTATATTGAGCGCGACACCATTAATATAATTTTATAGATTTTAAGAAAACCTGATCACTTAGTTTAATATCACACATTTTGACCAACCTTAACGGTTTAAAGTCAAAAGGAAAGTCGGAAATCATTATATAGGATCATTCATAAGTTGTATTTAGGGCAAAGAAATGGATGTGCTCATTGCATTAATTTTTGACATTGCTCAGATATACTTGAGAACACATATTGAAGCAATTTTATAAATAAAAACATATGTTTGTATATATAAGAAATAAAGTCAGACAAATGTTTCAAAATCCTATATATCAGTTATTTGGAGGCTGCGGCAAGTTTCGTTCAATTTTATCCATTTTGGGCACAAAGATACACTGTTATTACATACATGTAGTATAACTTCAGCCGGAAGTTCGAAATTATTTATTTTAAGGGGCTAAGGACCCCCATTGACCCGATTCAACCCATTTTTGACACAAATATATATTATTAAATTAAAAAAGTAAAAATTATAGTTCAATTACGACAAAAATTGTAGGTTAATAAAACTTATCGAATTTAGTTGAAATCGTTTTAGTGAATCGTGAGATATAGATTTTTTCCTAAATGTGTACGGTAAAAATCGTTCAAATTTGATAATGGCTCCTATAAAGCCCTCTTATACCATTCCGGTTAAAAGTTTTAATGTCTTTGACTTATTGTACTTTTAGTAGTATTTAGCATAGCCGTTATATGTGGAGAGGGCAGGTTTTTAATCCGATTATATACATTTTCACACTGTCGGTAGGGGTTCTTAAAAGATTTGTCCTGAGCGAATTTGGGTGGTATAGCTAGAATGGTTGAATGAAGGTTTTTTTCAAAAGTTTTAGCCCACAGGTGCCCCATGCTACTGCCATTTCCCGGTATTAATAACAGTTTCACATCTTAATTAAGTGCTTAGTAAAAGCTTTCTATCGGAGCACTATAGCACACAGCTGCCTTAGAAGCTAAACGATCGGAATCAAGTGCTTGCATGGAAAACTTTTTCATTTGACGAGATATTAAGAAACTTGCCATGAGTTATTCCTAAAGAAATTGTTCAGATCGGAACATTATAGTATACTA